ATCTATCTATCTATCTATCTATCTATCTACCTACCTACCTACCTACCTACCTACCTACCTACCTACCTACCTACCTTTTAAGCAAAAGAAGACTTTTACCTATTAATAATGTGCGATATGTTTTTACATAATTTGCTTTCTTGTTTGATAGGTAATTTCTGGAGTCCTTAAACTTTCTGAAAATACATACAAGTAGTGACTGCTGCATTTAGTGACCATTCACAGTTATAACAGTGATGAAAATGTAACTTTGTGACCAATCCTCGCATTTATGGCCTTTGCAGGTCTGTAAAGCAAAGGAAAGCTGAAGTAAGATCATAAGCACAGTCACAGTTTCACTTAGTGACTGCTTTGCTTAATGACTGAGTTGCCGGTCCCAATTATGGTCTCTAAATGAGGACTACCTGTAATACATTAAGTAAAATTAAATTCTCATCCTTTGCAGGTCTGTAAAGCAAAGGAAAGCTGAAGTAAGATCATAAGCACAGTCACAGTTTCACTTAGTGACTGCTTTGCTTAATGACTGAGTTGCCGGTCCCAATTATGGTCTCTAAATGAGGACTACCTGTAATACATTAAGTAAAATTAAATTCTCATAATATATAATGCATTTAAGTAACAGAAATAATTAATGTGTGTTAGAAAATAGTGGCCTATGTGTGAGTGATTAAACTGACATATTTTATTTTTCAGATATGAATGACTGCCATAAATGTACAGAAAGAAAATATCCAAGCAAGAACCAGGATTTCTGTGTTCCCAAGATTATAAGCTATTTATCGTATGAAGAATATTTGGGGATTAGTTTAGCTTTCCTTTCTCTTTTCTTTTCTTTGATGACAGCTCTGGTGCTTGGAACGATTATGAAACATCACAACACTCCCATTGTCAAGGCCAATAATAGGAATCTCACCTACTGTCTCCTCTTCTCACTCCTGCTATGTTTTCTCAGTACATTGCTATTCATTGGTCATCCACAGAAAGTGACATGTTTTCTTCGACAAGCCACTTTCGGCATCATCTTCTCAGTGGCCATTTCTTGTGTGTTGGCCAAGACTATAACAGTGATTTTAGCTTTTGTGGCTGCTCAACCTGGATCTAGGATGAGAAAGTGGGTGAGGAAAGGCCTGGCCAACTCCATTGTTTTTTCCTGCTCCCTTATTCAAGCAGGTATCAGTATGGCATGGCTGGCAACCTCTCCCCCTTTCCCAGATGTTGACTTGCACTCAATGACTGAAGAAATTGTACTGGAATGTAATGAGGGCTCTGTGACTATGTTTTATTGTATCCTGGGCTACCTTGGATTCCTGGCCACTATTAGCTTCACTGTAGCCTTTTTTGCCAGGAAGTTACCAGACAGTTTCAACGAAGCCAAATTCATCACTTTCAGCATGTTGGTTTTCTGCAGTGTTTGGTTGTCTTTTGTTCCAACTTACCTGAGCTCCAAAGGAAAATATATGGTAGCCGTGGAAATCTTTTCCATCTTAGCTTCCAGCATTGGACTGCTGGGTTGTATCTTTTTCCCCAAATGTTTCATTTTAATATTGAGGCCTGAACAGAATACTAAGAAATATTTAATTAGAAAGAAGTGATGGCAAGAAGAAAAAACACATTTTTAAAAGTATTTCTTGTATATTCACTTGCTGTAACAATATAGTTTCTTCTTCCTTTTAATCACATTCTTCAAAGCACACTATTACATTTTATCTTGCCCCATCAATCCAGAATCAGCATCTGAAAAACAACAATGTTGCTCACCAAAAAGAAGTTGATTATTTTCCCTATAAAAATAAAGTTTGGGACTCACGCTGTTTTTTGTATGGTATAACATTCTGGATCCTGTCATGGACAATCTATGTAATCAGAGATTTAACTTCAGATGTTAGTTATGAGAACTAAGTTAGGATTTCTAAGTACTAGAAGAAGCACTTGGGCAACCCTGTTCTGGTTATAAATGCAGCCTAGCTGTATGCTTTAATACATTTTTTTTCCTGCATCTTTTTTCATTGTGGACGATTATAGACTGTCACTCTAAAAATGTGTAAGCAATGTAGGTGTGAACAACAGTAATGCTATGCAAAATGCAGTAACGAACATAATGAATAGCCATATACTGTATATTATAAACATTAGAACATTCAATGTATTAACATTTATCCAAGTTCTGTACCAAAAATAAGCAGCCCCTGAAGGTCTTCTGGAACCCCCAGGCTTTTGTAAGCCTTCAGTTCCATGTGAATTAGAGTAATATTTGCACTGGGAGACCAGATATTCCAAAGAAGTAGAAGTGGCTGCTTCCATGAGCCTCCTGTCACACCTCATGATAAGTGGGGAACTTTAGCAGGCATTTTTTCCTGGGTCAGATGGGGAAGGGAGCATTTATCTGGGAAATTCACAAATATCCAACCATTGGGTCATATCGGACTTTTACAGAGTCCATAATGATTTGAGGCAGTTTAAAAATTGCATAAACAAACAAAGCTGTTATAGCAGTGATGATCTACAGTGTTGTGAGGCTCCCCTTTAGCCTATGGGCCATTGCATTTTGCACCAGATAATCTCTCTCTCTGTCTCTCTCTGTTTCTCTCTCTCTGTCTCTCTATCTCATCTTTAATTCTCATAGAATTAAAGCAGGAGGGCAACTGTAGGCAGATTATATTCAAAGCAGGAAGTCACTTCTAGGCAGATGATGTCCAAAGAACATCTCACATCTATCAATATCGTATACTCAAGCAGTCTAGCTGTATGATTTAATAAACTGACTTTTGTGTGTGTTTGGGGGGGAGTTTTGCATTTCTTTTTTTTCCCCCCTGTGCTGGAAAGTGAGGGGAAAGTGAGCCCACATTACCATAGCATTGTCTATGTTATCTATCCCATAATCCATATTTATAAACAGATCTTTTCAATTAAAGGGCAGGCTAAAATGCTTCAGGTAGATGATTAAAAGTAGCCTTAATAAAATAGTGCTTCACGATTTCTTAGTGTATTGGCTAAAAGCCAGTTAATTGAATCTGTAAGATGAAGATTTATTTGTTTATTTACTCCTTCATTCATTCATTTAATAAATTATTCCAGACAGATGATTTTCTGGTCCTAAAGAAGAGAAAGCTCTCCTGTTGTTGAGAAATAAGTGCAAGCTTGTGATTTGTGGGAGAAATAAAATGATGTCACAAGTTTATTTTCTTTGCACAGAACCTATTTATGTATCTATCATACATTAGAGGCCAGACACACAAATTTGCTTTCTAGTATCAGACCATGTTTCTGATACTTCTTTCTTCCCAATCCTACATTCCCTTCTTCTTGAAAATGCTGAAGTTAAACCTTTCAGTTAGATATGATAAACAAGCTTCCTTTTGCAATCCTATAGGGAATCTACAACTTTAATGGATAATTATGAATTTGAGAATTGAGAATTGAGAATAAATTTTACTTATGCTCAAATGGCTATAATTAATTGTGCTGCTTGTAAAAAAAAACCAGCTGAGCAATTTCCATAGCTAAATTAATAACATTGTTTGTGAAGAAATATATTAAAAAACTCCTCCATATTCAGCACTGTAGCCAAAAATTATAAGCAGATCCACTGTTGATCATGAACTCCTCATGTTTTAGGATAAGTGAAAGGAATGAATTCATGAAGTGTTGTCATCTTAGATGCTTTAATGATACTGGCAGGAATTTACTTCTCATCAGAAAAGTTATACTTAGAATGCTGAAACTAGTTTTCTTACTGTCAATACTGTTCCCTCACATGATATGCAAGGATCATCTTATTCAATGCAGACTCTATCAGCTCCAGCCTCCACCTCACAAATATCATCTATCTGGAGATTTCATCATTGGCAGCATTGTTTCTCAGATATTTATTTTGTCTCCATCTGTTTCCTTCACAGAAGAACCTCTGCCTGCATTGTTCGATGAGCTTAAGTAAGGTGTTCAAAAGTGTCACTCTTCTTATTCTTGCTATTCAAGTGGAACAGTTTTTGTTCATTCTGAATTCATATTATTTCTGCTGTTGATTCCTATGTCTTATCGGAAGGAAGAATGGTTAGTTTATTAGTCTGAATAAATATGCATTTGCATATATGTTAAATAACATCTTCTGGTGCTTTTGGATGATGTTCAAAATCTGATTTAGTACATCCTCATGTAAAACAATGTCCTTACTAAAAATTAAATGAATATTCTGCTCTAACAATCTGTATGACTATTTCTCTTGATCTTTTCTAATATTTGTATAATCTAAGGTTGCCTCAAGAAATGAGATCCTGAAATATTTAAATGAATAATGATAAAGACCAGGTTTTAAGCAATGATGATGGTTTTATGAAGTGTGAACTGTACTTATGATACTGAATGCAACTCTTCTTTTAGCATACTGACAAACAATTATCAGCACACCCTGGCTATGGCATTTACAGTAGAGGAGATCAATGAAAACCCTCAGATTTTACCAAATGTCACCTTGGGTTTCCATATTTATGACAGCTATTTAAATGCAAAATGGACTTACCATTCTACAATGCTACTTATATACACATTAGGGAGATTTGTCCCTAATTATATATGTGATACTCAGTATAAGGTGACTGCAGTAATTGGGGGCCTGGACTCTCAAACATCCCTTGATATGGCCACCATCCTGAGTCTCTACAAGATTCCACAGGTAGTACATATACAAGAGAAATGGAAATGTTCTGTTTTATTAATTCTGCCATTATCAGTTAGGGTACAATTTTGAAGTTGAGAGACAGAAATGTGTGTATGGCATCTTTTTACACCTATATTCTTCCTATATAATAAGAGCCCAGAAAAGCTGTCCCCTCTCTTTTTTAAAAAGTACATCCAACATAATTTTTTTTTTAAATGGTAAGGAACTGATGAAAGTAAGTATTTCTTGAGCTAAATATGTAGTTTCTAATTAATTTACAGTTCTGGTAATGGTAAACCTATAAGATGCAGAAAGATAAATTGGAAGGATAACATATTCAACTTAAAATAAAAATGGTCATGCTAAGTTTTTCTGTCCAGGAAATCAGGTATACTTCCCCCCACCCCACCCCCCAGGATATATAAAGCCCAGTTTTTAGAGGTTTAGTTTTTGTTTTTCCTACTTATAAACGTCTGGAATTTATGCAATGGAAAAATGTTAAGGAAAAATGAATGTTAACGCTTAAAATCTTCAATAATAGCTATTGCCCTCTGAGAAGCAGGCCCTGTCAGAGAATAATAAAATCAGGGTATTTCTTGGACTTGGAAAATAATTGCTGACATAATGCAGTGTGCAGTCTTTTGAACTTAAGCTAGACATGTATGGTGTTTCAAAATGCTCCACCAATTTGTGGGCAGAGAAATTGGGTAGATAGGTTCTTCAGATTTCTCCAAAAGAAGGAGAAATTCTCCAACAATTTTTCAACAGCAGTGTTCCTCCTTAATGCAAGGAGTTTCTGCATTATATATGTCCTTATAATTAAGGGAAAACAATTGGAAATATGTTTCTATAAGGAATACAAGATATTCTCACGAACATGTAGATTCCTTGACCACTCATAAATACCACATTTCACTCAAGAGAATTTCACTTTCATCAAATCTGATGGAATCCGAAAGAAAAAATGGCAGGAGAATTTCTCTCTTCAAATGTCTTTGAAACACTTGAAACTATTTTACTGATACATCATTGTCTCTTCCTTCTCTCTTTATATCTGAGTTTAGCTCACATATGGCATTCTTCCAGCGACAAGTGACAAAGCTCCAGGCCTTTTCTTCTACCAGATGGCCCCAAAAGAAGCACTTCAATACACAGGTGCCCTCTCATTAGTTCTACATTTTGGATGGACATGGATTGGGCTTATTGCTGTAGATGATTACAATGGAGAAATATTTCTTCAAGCAGTGCTTCCATTGTTTTCAAAGCACTCTGTGTGCTTTGCCTTTATTGAAAGGTTTCCATTGGTACGTGAAATCAAAATAGACTCAGTGAACCAAATAATAAAAATATATTATGATATGTTGAGGAGCAAAGCCATGGTAGTGGTGTTATATGGAGAATCTTATACCGTGGCATATCTGCGGTGGTTGCCATATCTAGAACTAGAAGAACATAAGACAAGAATGCCGACAGGCAAAGTATGGATCATGGTTGCACAGATGGAACTTGTTTCTTTTGCCTATCAGAGAACTTGGGATACAGACATACTCCATGGTTCCCTGTCCTTCACAATTCACTCCAGTGAGTTACCAGAATTTGAGCCATTTGTTCAGAATATAAATCCTTCCAACACAAAAGAAGATGGCTTTATAAGGGATTTTTGGGAACATTCCTTCATGTGTTCACTTCCTGATACAACTGTGAATGAGGTACAGAAGGACATTTGCCCTGGAGAGAAGGTAGAGACCCTTCCTGGGACTTTGTTTGAGATGAAAATGACTGGCCACAGCTATAGCATCTACAATGCTGTCTATGCTGTGGCTCATGCATTACATGCCATAACCTCATATAAATTTAAACACAGGATAATGGTGGATAGAAGAGGACCAAAGTCTCAGATTCCATTATCATGGCAGGTAATTAATTAAACCAGCTCCC